TTCTGATCCTGTCTATTTGGTGTTCTATGTGCTTCTTATATTTGTGCAGAGATGTCTTTCCTTAATTTCAGGAAATTCTCTTCTACAATCCTGTTTAAGATCTGGTCAACACCATTAACCTGAAATTCTTCTCCTTTCTCTCAGTTCCTATGATCTGTAGATTTGCTCTTTTCATAGTGTCCCACATCTCTTGCATATTCCATTCCTGTGTTGTTGGTTTTTTAAAAATTTTCCATAATTTTTGCTTGAGTGGTCCAATTCTTCAAACTTTACCCTCCAGTGTTGATATTCTGTTTTCCATTTCATTCATTCTAGCCGTGAGGCTTTCCCCTGTTGTTTCAAGTTGGCTTATTAAGTTTTGCACTTCCTTCTTCATTTCTGAGTTTTCTTTAATGTTTCTCTTTTGTGAATTCATTCAGAAGTTTATCCCTATCTTCTCTTAGCTCTTTGATTTGTTTGTTTGTGTGCTCTTTAAATTCGTTATGTTGAATTTCTTGATCATGGTTATGATTGTTCTTTTAAATTAAGTGTCCTGGGTTATCTCTAGGGGGTTCTCCTTGAAGAACTCTTCTACAGAATTAGTGGAGGTTGGTGGGGACATAATGTTTTGGCTTTCCATTTTATTATTCTTTCTTTGTGGTTTTGGCATGTGAATTTCTTTTGTTGTTTATGATTCTGATATGAGAATTAAGTTGAAGTATGCTTCTGTTTGTATTATCCAGGTGCCTGGAACCTTTCTTTATTGGTTATGTAAAGCTGATTGGTACAGGGTTCAGGTTCTCTCAGGTTTAATTTGGAGGGAGCTGATGACTTCAGATCAACTATTCAGGAGTACCCACAGAAGCCTAAATCAGGTTCCAGTCATGTACACTCAGGCTTCCTTCACCAGGTGGAGGCAGGATCCAGGTGCTCTCAGGCAGTTCCCTGCATTCTCAACCCTATGCCAGAGGAAGGCCAGACAGAGGCCAGAACTGAGTATTCTGGTGTCTGCTGAGATCAGAGCCACTACACAGATAGAGGTCTGAACTCACCCTCTCAGCCTGTCTGCTAGTATCTCAGCCTTAGCCTACCAAAGCCAGATCTGCCCTGGGGCTTTCCGAGGGGCCTCACAAAACCCTGGGTAGGGGGATGAATATGGTGCAATTAGGGGAAGCTCACCACCGCATGGAGGCAGGATCCAGGGTCTCTCAGACAGTCTCCTGGGTTCTCAGGCCCTTTGCTAGGTGGAGGCCAGAGGGAGGCCAGAACTAGGAACTCTTTGGCAGTCTGTTGAGATCCGAGCCTGCCACGCCGATGGAGGTCCAAACCCACCCTCTCAGGTTGTCTGCTAGGATCTCCAAGTAGCTTTTTTTCTATGGATATAACAAGAAATTAGAAGGCAGATTGATGCTCTTTCAGTTTAAACAATAGTGATAAGTTCCCCAACCTTCCCAAGCATGGGCTATTAACTGGGCATACAGTACCAAGCATGGGTTCCCTGATATGGAGCCAGTCTCAAATCCAGTCAGAGGATGGCTGCTTACCCACAAACAATCCTGCTACCATTTCCCAGTAGGGTAGTTTTTTGGTTTTAGGGTTCACAACTGAATAAGACAATTGATGCCTTTTCTCACCCAGCAGCTGATAGCACCTTCTGGGAGTAGCCAGCAGGAAGTGTCCAGCCCAACGCCAACTTGCTCTCTCTATGTCTTACATCCAAGGTGTGTTTTCAGTTCAGCAGTAGAGCTTTGTCCTTTGGTTCTGGTGTGCAATCTGGAGAACTGACAAGTTCTTTGTTCTCTGGCTCGGGGGGCTTCTGGGGCTTCCCTGACCAATTCTTACAGAGATATCACACACCTGCGCTGGGGAATATTGTTTAGTAGCCCACATATTCTAGGTGCAATATTATCTAGTCATGCAGGGTAAGTCCCCTTAGTCTCTGTTTTGTGATTTTAATTTGGTTAAAAGTTAGTAGGTTTCCATGTGGCTTTTTCATCCCCATTTCATTTTGGTTAATTGTCTCTGCATACCCCCATCTCACCAATCCCCCCACCTCCCCTCCCTGTGTAAACCTTCCACTCCTAATATTTCCCTTCTTTATCTTTCTTTTACCTGTGCTCTACTATTCTCCTCCCTTAAAGCATCCTCCTCCCCATGTCCCCCTCTCTAGTTTCCTAGATTTCCCAGATATTCCATGTCAAAAAACACAACTAAATAAAGAATCAGAGCTAGGATCCAAATATTAGAGAATAGTTTGCCTTTCTGGGCCTGGTTTACTTCGCTCAGTATAATTTTTTTCCAGTTACATCCATTTACCTGAAAAATTTATAATTTTGTTTTTCTTAATAGCTGAATAAAATTCTGCTTTGTTTATGTACCACATTTTTACCCTTATCTGATGGATTTCTAGGCTACTTCTATTTTCTGGCTATTGTGAATAGTATAGCAATGAACATGGTTGTTTGGGAGTCTGTATAGTAAAATACTTTGGGGATATAGCAGTGTCATATACCAGTTTTATTTTTAGTGTTTTGAGAAACCTCCAGACTGATTTTCAGAGTCGCTACACTAGTTTTCCTTCTCGTCATCAGTGTATAAGGGTTCCACTTGCCCCACATCCGCACCATCATTTGTTGCTATTGGTAGTCTTAAAGATTTCCATTCTGACTGGGGTGAGACAGTATCAATTTTTTTTACATTTTTATTAAGCTTTTGTAATTTCATACAACCATTCTTAATCAAATTTAGATCCCCTCCCCCAGCTATCCCTCCCCCATACTCCCACTGAACCTCATGTATTTCAACATACATATTAGGCATTTGTACACGAATGTCCCTCAGTGTGAATTTGTCCACTGGAGTCTAGTCAACCCATCTAGTGATGGGATGTAAGTCATACTGTCTGTCACAGAATCTTAAAGTAGTTTTAGTCTGAATTTCTCTGATTGCTAAGGATGTTTTTCATACTTTTAAATGTTTCCTAGTCATTTATAGTTCTTCTGAGAATGATCTGTTTAATTTTATAGTCCATTTTTTGTTTTGGATTTTTCTTTTGTTTTTATTTGTTTTTTGCAGTCCATTTTAATACAATATTTTCATGAATTCCTTGAGACAATCATATGTACACACAGTATATTTTGATCATATTTATGCCCTTCCCCCCTCCAACCTTTCTCAGGTCCCTGATCCCTCCACACATAGACATATTCCTCTCCTCAACTTCGTGTCTTTTTTCTCTTTTCATAATCCACTGAGACCAATTAGTGTTATCTATACACACATAGATGTGGGACCATTCACAGGTTGATCATGGTCTCTCTACAAGGAATCACATCCCTAAAGAAAACTGATTCTCTTTTCCCTAACAGCCATCAACCATAAATAGCTCTTCAGTAAGGGGTGAGGCCTAATGAGCCCCTCTGCCCCATGCTGGAATGTTGACTGGCTTGAGCTTGTGCAGGTCTTATACACACAACCACAGCTGTTGTGAGGTCATGAGTACATCAGTTCTCTTACATCCAGAAGACGCCGTTTCACCCCAATCCTCCATGAACTCTCACTCCTACAGTCTTTGTGCCCACCCTCTCCATCGATATTCCCTGAGCCTGAGGGAAAGGAGTGTGATAAAGATGGCCCAATTCGTGTTTAGTGGGTTTTTTTTAAAATCTCTGTGAATTTCTGTGCTTTTGATAGTTTCTCTTGCTGTTGAAATCTAGTTTTATTCTTTGCAGCCTGAAAGAATACAGGATGTTACTTCAACTTTTCTATATTTGTTGAGGCGTTTTTCATCCTAATGTGTGGACTGTTTTGGAGACTGTTCTATGAGCTGCTGAGAAAATGTATATTCGTTAGTGTTTGTGTGGAATGTTCTCTAGATGTCTGTCAGTTAAACTATATCTTGCTGTGTTGTCCTAGCTGGCCTCTAACTCCTGAGCTCCATAATCCTACTGCCTCAGCCATCTTAGGATCTAGGGCTACAGCACCTGACTTCTAACACATTTATTCTACACCTGGAAATAAAGCCAATGTGAGCAGTTCAGGGCCACACCATTGGTCCCCATCTCCTAATTTAGAAGTTTGTCCAGTGTTACTACAATTTTCAATTTGGAGTTTAAAAAGCTACAGAACTCTTTTTAGGGTAAAATACTACTTTAAATCCCTTATGCAAAGGGTTTTTGTGTTTTATTCCAATTTCGGGGCATCACCGTTCTCAACGTGTAACCTCCAAAATACTGCCAAGAAAAATGATAAAGAGATTTTAGATGGAAGAGGTATTAAGTGGACAAGACTTAGAAGTGGTGGTGCTTTCATCCATACCTGCTATCCAGCTGCTGCTCCATATCCATACCTCCAGGCAAAGTGATGAGAAAACCCTCCCTCATGTACGCTCAGAAAGATTGAGATTCACTGATGCTGTAGAAGTCCACTTGCTCACTAAGCATCCTTTCTGTGACATTTATCTGAACCCAGAGAAGTTGCAGTGGACTGAACAATGAGTCCTGTCTTTACCTTCTGAAACAAGATTCTACTGCCCTCCTTCCTGAAGGATCATGAGTCTGTGTATATCCCACTCGTTGCCGACAGAATTGCTCTGTTTCCTCGCAGGAAAGCTACAGCGCAGGAGTTAAACATTATGAGGCCGATAACTTTGAAGCAGCAATCAAGTACTTTGAACAAGCTTTAAGGGAATATTTCAATGAAGATATGGAATGCCGAAGTCTGTGTGAGGGGCCTCAAAGATTTGAAGAGTATGAATACTTGGGGTATAAAGGCGGTCTCTACGAAGCAATTGCAGGTAAGGCTTATTTTTTCTTTTCTTATTAAAAATGCTACATACACTTAAACTATATTCTGATCATTTAATAGTATAGTAATAAATATTGTAAAAAGTTAAAGATTCTCTCTCGTGTTTATTTCCATCCTGTCTCCTGTTGATAATTTGTATGGTTACATTTTTGACGATTTTTCTTCCCAAAATTTTCTGATGTATTTGTAAATATTTTCTATTGATTTATAATTATGTTATTGATACACAGTAGGAAAATACTATAGGTATTTAATTTCAACATATTTTATTTTATTTTATGCCTAGCAACAAAATATGGACTTCTCCATGTAAGTACATGTGAACTCATTTTATTGTATTTTGTGACTAGATAATCTCCCATGACATGTGAACTTCATAGTTTATTTAGCTAGTCTTTACTGATGAATATTGAAATGGTTGTATTTTCATTATTACAGTAATCTAATAATGAACCCTTTTGTATAGTACTGTATGTACAATTATGCACCAGATTATTATATATAGGAATGTTGTCTTAAAATAGCAGATAATTGTGATATGCAGTAATTGGTGATATTGAGGAATTAACCTTTTATGGGAAAAAGCTCTCCTGTACATCATATTTAAATATGAACTATTTGTATTAACAATACAAATGTAACAAGTAAACCTGTCAGAAAAAGTTCATGAGAATATTTATATAGTATTGATAAAGGTAAAACTCTTGTAAGTATAACAAAACATGGGGGAAAATAGAAAAATAATTCTTTTAAATAAGACACATATACATGGGTACAGTAAACCAAACTGCTTTTCAAAAGGTAAATGGAAAATATCTCAGATATTTTATATACAAAATTATAATAGCTTTCATTAGTAAAGATTATAAATTACTATTAATAGTAATTTTCCTATCAATTTTTATTAGCAGCAATACTGCTTATTTAGCAATTTTAACATAAAAATACCACTCCTCACCTTTGTTTTGTGTATATGTATATATGTATGATACTGGAGATTGAATCCAGGGTATCGTGCATGTTAGACAAGCACTCTACCACTGAGCTATTTCTCTAGCCCTCTTTTTCTTTTTTATTTTGAGATTTGGTCTGAGTTGCACAGGCAGGCCTTAAACTCTCTCTAGCTCTAGTAGGCTTTGTACCTGCAATTCTCCTGCCTCGGGCTCTGGAGTAACTGGTATTATAGGCTTGTGCCACCAGGCTTGGCCCTTTTCTCCCTATTACTGTTCCAGTCAATGAAATGGAAACTTTGAAGCCCCTGGTCTGTGGGGAATGGGCAGGTGGCGACCGCTACCCTGTATGGGAGGTGTGGGCCCACAGAGGGAACTCATTTTACTTTGTGTGAGAGCTGTTAGCATGGCTGCACCAGTTGCCTCTGCTGGCAGTTAGGGTAGACGTGAGCATAGCACTTGCAGCAGAATATCTTGTTGCAGTTGTGTTTTGGAGTGAGCTGGCACAGGGAAGGCTTGAGGAGGCCCCCTGACAGGTAAAGCACTGGGTGCAGGGCTGTTTCTGGGTGCACAGTCCAAGGACACGTGGCCGTTCTGTAGTGGTTGGCTCATAGGCATCAGATGCTTCTTGTTAGGGGATTTGTCTTTTGAGTCTTGGACTTTGATTTTGATGTTTTCAAAATCCCTTTATTTTAGTGTTATATAATGAATTTCCTCATTTTCACCCCTTTTCCCCCCTCTCATCCTCTCTTCTCAACAAGCCCCCTCCATACTTTCATGTCTTCCTTGAATGTGTGACCAACTGAGTTTAATTACAGTGCATTGCCTGAGTCTGGTGGGAAGTTATTTACTGTAGCAAGAGTAACAGATCTGTGGTTACAAGGCTGAAGAAAATGATAACTTCTCCTCCAACAATTGTCAACTGTCAAGGATTCTTTGGGGAGGGGTGGGTCATCATGGAACCCCTCCCTCTTAAATAATGAAATGTTGTCAGACCTAATTATGTGCAGGTCTTGTGCAGGTATCAACAAATGCAGTGAGTTCATGAGTGTGTCTGCTATGTCATGTCCAGCTGACAGGCTTTGGTACATCTCCCTGTACTCTGGCTCTTCCATTCTTTCTGCCTCCTCTTCTACAGTGTTTCTTGGGCCTTGGAAGTGGCCATATAGCTGAATCCCACTGCCTGCTGCAGTAAAACACTTCTCTGATGAGGACTTTATATAGCACTAACCTATAGATATAGCCATGAGTATGTAGATGCCAGCATCACAACAGGAAAATTTGACCTATGACCTCCCTAGCCAAGGGCTGGTTTTGATGTTCTTTGTTGTATCTCTAGGCTCAGCCTCCAAGGTGATGACTGTCCCATCAGACTGCTCATACACTTCTCCCCTGTTTCTACCACCAGCCACGTTACTGATGAGACTCCGCTCCTATTCATTCTTTTAATGATAATTTTGTATTTCAGAAAGATTTAGTGATGGGGCTAAAGTGAAACAGGAAACCAAACCCGGGCTTTACTGAGTTTAGTGCCCATATTTTTAAAGTCTACATAATTAAAAATTAGGCAAAGAGTAATTTAGTCAATAACAAATAACAATAACAAATCTTTATCATTTGTTGAGAACATGCTCTTCTCCAAGATATACATACGTGTAAAATAATGTTCAACTGACATAGAAATTACTAAAGTCAGTGTGCTCTCCTAATTTCCAAAGTCTTCAAATCTCCGTAAAAACACTTACTTAGTAACTCAAACCAAATCGAATGTTGCTTTTCAATCCAACTTCAGTTCCTAACTCCATCTGATTTATTACCAAACTATGAAAGATGCTCCACACAGCATATTGTGGGTCTCCATCCTTTCGCTGTCACCCTGGTTTAAATGAGCACTACATTTTAGCTAAGCCACTGTGACTACCTCCTTTTTGTTCTTAACATGCCGATCAGTTGTGGGTACAACAGACAGAATTCAAATTCTGCATCGGCAGTGCTATTATACTTCACAGCCCTCGCCTGGCTTGCATTCCACTCATATAAAAACCAATAACCTTTCATATGTGTGTTCTCGGTCTCTCTTCATTCTTGACTTCTCACCTCTTTCACTTTCTTGGTATGCTGCTATCATCTCCCCTTGCAAACCTTCTCGATATTTTCTGGTCACTAGGCCAGTGTCCTCCTATGTTGTTCAGTGTTCAGTCCTCAAACTAAGTACAGGGTCTGGCAGATACTCAGTACTTAATAAATATTGTTAAATGAATGTGTTGGTGAATGAAAAGAATAAAGGAGAAGACAGAGCTATATAATAGCTCTGTATAGATTAAGTTGGTTAATAATGCTCTGTGTTTATGATACTGTGGATTATAAATTATGTCGAATCAATATATCTATTACGGTCAAAATCACTACATCAAATTACCGAATTATGAAGTACCCCTGTTGCCCAAAGCAAAAATTCAAGTCACCTAAAGTCAATACACTGACATGAATTATTTTGAGTATTTTCAAAAGTTTTGTTTCCTTGGATTTCTGCCCCATTAACTTCCTTGCGTTTTTATGAGCAGTCTTCTTTTAGAAGTCAATTTTACGTGTATTTTACAGTGTAGTTACTAAGTATTTCTCTACTCTCAGTCTTTTGGCGGGGGAATGGCCTGGCTTTTTCTTTATTGTATTAATGGTTCATTAATGCTGTGATTTTATGGAACATGTGCCCTACCTCCAGCTCCACATTTGTTTCTGCACCTGTTCTGTAGAAGTTTTGGCAAGTGTCCCAGATCCCATTAAGGAGACAATTTTCCATGGGTTAGTATTTAGAGACAGTCAAGTTTCCAAAGCCCATTGGCTTCTGGGAAAGAAAAAAGGTCTCCACATCCAGTTTCTTCTGCTCTTAACACCACTGCCATCACCTGAATCACAATGCCTAGTGAAGGAGCTTTAAGATAAGTCATAGCCTCTCAGGTTCAATCCAAACATTGCCAATTACAGAATATATGATAAGACCTCCTGAGAATTTGAATATATTCAATTTATTATGGGAAAAATGTAAAGTATTCCCGTGCAAGTATTTTTAGCCTCAAACTTAATAAAAATATATTAATTTCAAAAGCCATTTGAAATCAAAGAAGATGAAGAATATAACTAACAAAAATTAATGACTACTTTCACTGCAAACATTCTTGTTATGCCCAAATTTGGAGTGAAATTGGCATTTGAAATAGAGACTGGATTAGAACACCGTAGTGCTTGAACTTTAGAGTTAGAAGAGCCTAAAAGCTGGGAAAACACAAATGCTGCTTAATGTGTTTTTTCCTATTCCAATTCTGTTTGGCAAAGCCCTAAAGGATATCTTTGTTACCCTTATTTGCTATTTATTCACTGCTTTGAAAAATATTTTTCTTCAGATTTTGAGTTATTTGTGGGTACATTTTCCACATGTCCATTTTCTTGTCACTTGTCGTTGAAGAAGTGTGTGCTGGAAGGTAAAGAAGACTACAGTTTGTGAGGTGGAAGCGAACAGTTGAAGGTTGTTTCCTGTTCCCTTAAGAGATGAAACACAACTAGTGGTTCATGTCTAACATTCAGGACAAATAAAAAGAACATATGCTTCCCGGCTCGCCCAGCTATGCTTGTAAAGCAGAGGACTGAAATTATCCCATGTGGGTCCAAGTTAGCCAGGTTGTGGGAATTGGCATATTTTCCTCCACCACCCCCACCCCAGAATGGACCCTTTCTTCCTATGTCCTGGATGTCATTCTACGGTATCGTCCAGATCCAAGATGAATTGTGAATAAACAGAGAATTGTGCAACCATGAGGTCAGGTGATTTTATTGTCCTTCTCCAGGGAACCTACTTGGCCCATGCATAAATGAACCACTCTCTCTCTGGAAAAGACTACCTCCATCTTTGCTATAAAAATTTGAACTCAAGCAAAAGGAAGGTGGGATTTTCCTTGTGATATTTGCTGCTTGTTCCCTAAGCCCAGGCACTGATGAACTAGAGCCAAGAGCTAAGGGACATGAGATCCCCTGCACTTGAGGATCCTTGCTGTATTTTAAGTAAAAGTACAGAAATCATAGAAGGAGCAAGGAGAAAAGGAAAATATTGATTAGATTACTTTAACTGTCATCCCTTCCACCACTTCACCAGTTTGTGTTAAAACAGTATCTTTTGTATTAAATCTTGCAATGTCCAGGTGATGGACTGATCTGTAATTGGGTAAACTTGAGCAACAGATGTCAAGAAATGTTTTTTTATTTATCCTTTAGGAAAAATTTGACAAGCAAAGGAAGCTTTTCTCCCTTTCCCCTGCTGAACGCCACAAATGCATAGCTGTTCCATTTTCTGAATGGCTTCTTAACATCACTAGGATGTGAATACCCAGCCCTAGTCCCAGGACACTTCAGGTTTTCCGATGTATCCAAAAAGAAATTGCTGGATGAGAAAGTCCATGTTCAGCTACGTGTGTGAAATGCTGTTCAGGAGGCCAAACTCAGGACACAATGTTGTCCACTGATCACTAGCGAGGATACAGCAAGCCACTGTGTCTGAAGTTTTCGGACCAGAGAGTAATGATTCAGAGTTCTCTTTGAGTGTGCATGATTGAAGCATGCCCCTCTAGAATTTATGCTCTGATTCTGATGTGGTGTCAGCAGCCCCAAAGACACATCTCTCTCTCACTTTGCCTTCCAGATCACTACATGCAGGTGCTGGTCTGTCAGCATGAATGTGTGAGGGAACTTGCCACTCGCCCAGGCCGCCTCTCACCAATTGAGAACTTTCTTCCTTTGCATTACGACTACCTGCAGTTTGCCTACTACAGAGGTAAAGTGCGGATCATCTGTGGAGACCTTTGGGAGTTCTTTTTTGTCCGTGGGCATCTGCTCATGATTGCGACCTCTGCTTTCTTCCTGCTCGTTGCTGAAGCAGTGCAGGCTTATGCTGTTCCTTCCTCGTGCCACGTCACTGCAGCTCAGCACAAGAGTAGCAGACAGACTAGAAATAGGCAACATATGCTTTAATAGTACGATAATTTCCTAATGTTACACTACACAATTTCTTTCTCAACTTTTAAGCTTCTTTTTCAGCTCACTTTTTTAAAAAATATATTTTATTTATTATTTTTATGTGTATGTGTGTACTGCCTGTATGTGCATGTAGGTAAGTGCACCTGTGTCATGCAATGCCTGCAGAGGACAGAAGAGGCTGGGATCCCCCGTTTTATTTATTATTTTTATGTGTATGTGTGTACTGCCTGTATGTGCATGTAGGTAAGTGCACCTGTGTCATGCAATGCCTGCAGAGGACAGAAGAGGCTGTCGGATCCCCCGGAACTGGAGTTACGGACAGTTGTTAGCTGCCATGTGGATGCTGGGATTTGAACCTGGGTCTTCTGCAAGAACAGGCAGTGTTCTTAACTACTGAGCCATCTCTCTAGCCACTCAGCCTACTTTTAATAGGAATGCATTTACATGGTCCAGAGAATTAATATCATAAAAGTGCTACCCTCTTTCTGACTCTACAACCCACTTTTACTTCCTCTACCTGAGTTTCTTATACTCCTAAAATGTTGTACATGAACAATAAATATACTCACATAATTTCATTTCCCCTTTATTGCACAAAGACAGAGTATTATTTATAATATTCTCTGTAGGGCTTGTTACTTAATACATACCAGATGTTCTTTTAGTAAGTTAGGCCTAAGAAATTACCATATTTTAGATCAAAATGTTTAAATTCTGGCAATTTTATATGGTTTAACTTCAGTATATGAGTGCACAGAGATTTTCCTTGTTCATCTTTCTTTATGCCCGCATGTCATTGTAGTGTAACTTATTTTATGTGTCTCTCATTGAGAAGCTACTGTGTTGTTGGTAACCTTTTGTGACTGCAGTGAACTTTCAAGTGGATAACATTTTACATGCATTTCTGCACAAATATCTACAGGATAAATATCTGGAAGTTCAGTTACTGGTTGAAATGATTTATTCATTTGTATTTTTGATTCATGCTGCCAATTTTTCCTCCATATGGATTATATTTTCCACTGTTCATCATTAGACTGTATTATAATATGTTTAGATATTCCATAGGTAAACTTTGGTAACTCAAATAACTTTAGTTTCCATTCATTATTGAAAAGGAGATATTGAATAGCACTTCTTAAAAGAATTAGTGTAATTCAGAATACTGAAATCATCATGGTGTCCTGTATCTTCCTCTTGGGGAAACATGCTTGGATGGCAGTCACCTGGATTATTGGCCCATCGTGACTCCTGGCTCATTGCACTTCTCATTATTTATCACTATTTTCAGCTTTTTTATGGAGGTCAGCAGTAAAGAAATAGTTTCCCTTTTAAAATAATAACTCTGAGGCCAACATACTAAAACGATTCTGACAAATTCACTCCCTTTCTAGAAGCAAAATATTACTCATTATTCTGGTACTTATGACAATAATAATTCATGTGTTCATCATGAGCAGTGAGTACAAAAGAGTTAAAAGAGTTGTTTATTACTATTTTCATTAAAAATTGGAGCCATTTTGAGTGTGTGGATAGATGATATAGATAGACATAAATAAATAGATAGGTGATGATAGATGATAAATAGATAGATAGATAGATAGATAGATAGATAGATGATAGATAGATAGATAGATAGATAGATGATAGATAGATAGAGATAGATATAGATAGATAGATAGATAGATAGATAGATAGATAGATAGATATAAATAGCCATAGATAGCTAGGCAGATAAAAGATAGATAGATACAGAAGTACATACCTGTAGCCAAGTGAAGGACAGGTAGATGGAGAAATTAAATGGCTGTGTGGATAGATACGACATATGAGATAATTTATATATATATACCCTAAACTTTCACTAGTTATAATGTGTACATCTTCACTGGCTCCTTGCAACAAAGATTAGATGATAGATGACAGATAGATGATAGATAGATAGATAGATAGATGATAGATAGGTAAGTAGATAGATAGATAGATAGATAGATACAGAGAGAGACTTGTTACATATATGCATATATAAAGAGAAACAGAGAAAATATCTTTAAGAAAATATAATGTGTGACCTATTTGAGAATATGACATACATCAATCACTTACAAATTCTGTTCTAACAGTTACACATTTCTAAATTTTCCCTTTCCATATCCAGATATTTCTGTAACAAAGTATTCCATTTGAAACAGCCTGCATTATTCCTTACAGCAGCTGCATACTGTTCAGGTTATTCTAGTTATGTGAGGATGGACTAGAAGAGGGTCATCCAAAGACTTGGGGATTTCTGAAGGTCTCACTACAGAGGTGCCACTTGTAACACACTCTCCAGCCATTAGAAATAACATTTTCAGAATCATTTTTATGGTGATGGAGGGTTTGCTCAGCAGTTAAGAGCACTAGCTGCTCTTGCAGAGGACCTGGGCTTGATTCCCAGCCCCATATGGCAGCTTACAACCGCCTGTAACTCAAGTTCCAGGGAAATCCAATGCTCCCTTCTGACCTCCAGAGGCACTTCACTACACGGGTGCACTTTCATACATGCTGGCAATACACTCATACACATAAAAAAATAAAAAGAATCATTTATACTACTTATATGTTAAGTACAGTATGATAATATGTTAGAAGGCCATTTTCAGAATATTTGCTTAAGCCAAACAGTAAAAAGTTACAGTTAACTCTTTTATGTCTGCCGTTTCTATTAGTTATCAATAAACATTTTCAGATAGAGAATTTAGATAATTTCTGCAATGCATTTGCACCAAAACAAACAAAAAATAATCCTTTTGAATACTTGAAGTCATGTCCTTCTTTTGTGTGTGTTTCTCCTATCTCTGCTCATGACCTTCTCTGTCATGATGATCAATACTGACATCAGTAGCCACACTGAAGTCTTCCTTCAAAATGGCCCAGGCAGACCTAACTGACTCTAATGCAGCAACACCTTGTGTTTCCAGTTGGTGAATATATGAAAGCCTTGGAGTGTGCCAAGGCCTACCTGCTATTCCATCCGGATGATGAGGATGTCCTGGACAACGTGGACTACTACGAGAGCCTGCTGGATGAGAGCATTGATACAGCATCCATTGAGGCCCGTGAGGTGAGACCCAGAGTTCTGAGCGGAATCTCGATATTCTGCATTGGGCTCCAGAGAGAACTGATAAAAACAGGGCCCTTCTCTGAAGAACATATAGCAATTTAAGGACTGTTCTAGGCCTTATCTTAATTCTTTCAAATTTTATTCATGCCAAAGTTATATGTTGTTCATATGTGCTAGATTAGGGAAATCTGTTGACATGGGTTTCTCAACTCTGAATGTTTATGTTGGTTCATTGGTCATTACAATGGAAAACATTTCAACTTGAGCATTTATCATATCTCTTAGCTGTTATTTTTTTTTCTCTAGGATTTGATAGTGTTTTTGAAACGTCATAAACTTGAATCTGAACTGATAAAGTCAGCTGCAGAGGGTCTGGGATTTTTATATTCTGAACCGGTAAGAAAAAAATGGAAAAAGGAAGTGTTTCTTAAAAATCTTCTCAGAGGCATTCATAATAAATTTTTATTTCCTACCTCCATTAGTTGGAGACTACTACTCTAAATTAATCGTTGGTGTTGGGGGTTATTAATTCCATACATGTGATGAACTTTATAGAATTTTGATAAATTTCAAAAGGAATAAGGTCCAAAGTCAAAAGCAAACGTGTTCTAAATAGATTTGTTCATGACTCATTTGCCTTAGGATTGTTTTATTTTTCCAAATTTTAGATGCAATATTTCATATTTTTAATGCGTTTTGTTCTTTGAACAACATCCCTTCCAAAAGAGCAGCATGAGGCACAAGCCACCGCGCTGTCCTTTCTTCACCTCCCCTGTTGTCTCCTCATCCCTATCCCATGAAGAGAGAGCACTTAGAGACTTCCTGCGATAGCGTAGATAAATATATGTTCTGATGCTTATTTAAGAACATACTATATGTAATACTTCATTTGTTAAAGCTTTAAAAAAGTTTAGTTGCAGATACGGGATTGATACATAATTAACTCTTGTTGGTCAGTGTTTGAACTATTTATGGTGTCTTTCAACCGTACATCATGCATGAAGCATTTTGCATTTACTGAACTATAACTTTCACATAAATTTCCAAGAGTGGAATTACTCTAATATCAAAGAATATGAGATTGTGACGTTCTTAAAATTAAATTCCCTTCCTAAGAAAATGTTTCTGATGTTTTCAGTACTTCTAGTGAGGTAAACAACACCAGCTTACCAAACTTGCAGCCAGAAATACTTTTTAAAACGGCCAGTACTGCCTGTTATATATCAAGTACCAATTGATAAATTGCTGCTGTTTAACTTGTATTCTTTTGATCGCCAGTTTATAATATTTTCCTCTTCCCACATAGTATATTTTCCTCTTTGAATTACCTAGGTATGATTTTTTTTAGTCCCATTTGTCTATTGATTACTGAATAATTTACTTTATATACATTTTTTTTTCTTTTTGGCTTTTTGAGACAGGGTTTCCCTGTAGCCCCAGCTGGCCTGGAATTCACTTTGTAGACCTGGCTGGCATTGAACTCACAGAGATGCGCCTGCCTCTGCTTTCCAAGTGCTGAGTTTAAAGGCATGCACCATCATGCCTGGCTCTTTATATACATGTTTAGGAAATCTTTAATTGTAGTATTTTTTCAATTTCTTTTATTTTTATTTATATGAGTGTATTGCTCACCTGTATGTAAATGCATCTGTATCATGCAATGCTCACAGAGGTCAAAAGAGGGCATCTGATCTATTGGAACTGATGTTATAGAAAGTTGTTAGCCACCATGTGGGTGCTGGGAATCAAACCCAGGTCCTGTATAAGAACAACCAGTGCCCTTAACCACTGAGCCATTTCTCCAGCCCCTAACTGCAATATTTTTAAGGTTTTCTTTTAATTTTTGAAAACTTCATACAATTTATTTTGTTCATATTTAGATTCCCCTTCCCTATCTGCACCCTTTTACTAACCCCCACCCAATTTCTTGTTCTTTCTCTATATATTATATATTAAGATATATATGCCTATCAGGTCAAATTTGAGTGCCCAAATGCCCTTCCAGTATAGGTCCATCCTCCACTGAGCCTGGTTATTCTACCCAGAGTTACACCCATAAGACTGACTCACCCCCTCCTAGAAGCTATTTGTTGCCAGTAGATCCTAAGGTGGGGTTGGGATTTTTACCCACTTCCCCACTTCTATGCAGCATGTGATTAATTTTTTTTTCTTAACTATGACAACATATTTTTAAATATATCACTTTAAGGAAATATTTTTAATGTAATGCTTATATTTATTTCTATTTACTGTTTTGAAATACTGTGTTTTCCTAAGAGACATTGGAGCTTGTCACTTACTTCATGGTCCTATACAGATAATCAACCCAGCTGGACTTCTTTTTTCATTGTAGACTGGACACTGGTTCAAGTCCATCTGGTGGAGTCTCCATGGCCTCCCTGAACAAGAGGACATGTGACTCACCACAGTTAGAAGACATTTTGAGACTCCTAGACAGTAACCCAGCATAGAACTGGGAAAATGAACAGCAGACCCCAATCTTATCTAAAGGAATGTTGGCAACTGATTGCTGCTAGATGAAGAAGAGCTGAGCTTCTTAAAACAAGGAATTCTAGATAGGTTGACTAGACTTAGTGGATGGACTTGCACTGGGGAATGGCTGGGGGCACTGACAACACAGTGGGCTTTAACAAGGATAACAGAGTGTATGGGCGGGTAAGGCTATGGGAGGGTGCTGTTTGGGATGCGTATAAAGATGAATAAGATTGTTTGGGATGTTCTATATGAAATACACAAAAAAAAATCAATGCACACAAAAAATCAATTAAAAAAAGAAAAAATATATATAAAAGTAAAAAAGAAAAAAAGCTCTAATGATTTGCTGTTTTTCTAATTGTTTTTAATTCATTTGTTATCCACATTGTCTAGCTCAAGATTGTATCGACCTTTCCCAAACAAATTTTTTAAATAAAAATAGTTATTCGTATACATAAGTTTCCTAAATATTTCAGGACATCTACATAATTTTGAGCTCTTTTAACATTTTATTTTTGTAAATGGTGTTTAGTAATATTTTTTTTTCTTGACTGGAAACAGAATTACTGGATCAGATACGGAGGACGGCAGGATGAGAACCGGTGAGTCCACCATTTAGAACGGAACAGAAGTGAGGAGAAATGCTTAGAGTCAGGAGGCCTGAGAACTTAGCGCCAAGAAATTAGAGAAAGCAATGTAATTAAGACTGCTGACTTGCAAGATAAGAGATGTGTCCTGGTCCCAGCTCTTCCAATGACTTTTGTATGATTTTAAGTATGATCTTTCTCCTTGGGTCTCCTGATTTTTCTTCATTGAAGAAATCAATCAAAGATTCTCTGAATTCTAGCATTCTGTAATAAGTGATCACAGAAAATTAGATACCATTTTGGATTTATTAATGAAATGTATGTTTAGATGGTAAGTTCCCATACTATAGTTATTTGAAACCAGGATCAGAATGTTTTCTAAATGTTGAAATTTGCATTATCACTAATGGAAGTCAATCACGGGTTTAAAAAACTCAAACTTATGGCATGTTTGCGTTACATGTTTGTGATCACAAAGTCCAATTTATCAGTCTTCAAATTAGGACAGTGACCATGTCAATGGAAGGGACTTGCTTAGAGTTTCACCATAAGAAACTGGAAGACTCAGGCCTTATTCACAATCCTGAGTCTTTTTTAGTAGACTCAGCCTTTGAGTCTAGGTTTCCAGACTCAGCCCTTGAGTAGGGTAAGAATATTGTAAGAAAATCAAGAATGTTCCTGCACATTTGAACCTTTCCAGTCTGAATAGGTGAAATGATGTCTACTTTCATTTGTGTGTTTGCAAAGTTGAACACAAACTGGACTTCCTTCTCACAGTAGTCAAGAACCAGCTATTCCATCAGGACAGGGCTTACCTTTTCTCAAACATTATTTGGTGATGCAGTACATGTTTGGGGCATAGGTCAACATGAAGAATTATAAAGGTGTATGTGATAATTATTTATTGTTCTCTTGGAACGATATATGGATGTGAAGAGACTATTAAATGTAATAAATCTTCTTGCAAAGATGATTTAGGGGAGTGACATGGAGCATTCCTGGGGAAACAGAACTGCACAAAGACATGAACATATAATTTGATTTAGAAACAATAGGGCAGATGTGTGTACAACAGAAATATTCAATTCAGAATCATAAACTGTAGACTGTGTAGGAACAATATTCTTGGACTTTTGACATCATTATTCAATAGAAAATTGCTATTTCAACTTCTTTGAATGGACAGGGTCCCTTCAGGAGTGAACATGGAGGGGGCAGAAGTTCATGGATTGTCTAAAAAACCACCACCCAAGATAGGTCGAGACCTAAGAGAGGGTAAGTACCTGCCTGCTTTGACCCTTCAGAAGTGAAGATAAATCCTTAACTAGACTGAGGCAGAAATCATTTTCTCTGGAAAACTGTGAATAATTCACAGTTGTCTGAAAGCAAGATTTAAACAAATGTCTCAGATTTGTATATCATTGCAAAAGTCTTTTCAAGTTATCCCCTGACTTGTTGCATTGGGCAGGGACTGTGTGGTCCTCTTTATTGTGAGTTGAATACCCAAGGCTTTGAGAGGCCTCTAGATGGTGAGTGCTGGATAGCGTGGATAGACCGCATATCCAAGGATCTTAGAAAGGAGATAAGTCATATGGAACATTAGGTTAGTTTACATAAAATATTTGAATAATATAAATTTACAATGAGTTTTTATTTTTAATACTTATTTTACTTATTTCAATTGTGTGTGTGTGTGTGTGTATGTGTGTGTGTGTGTGTGTGTGTATACATGCGAGTACAGGTGCTCTGGAATACAGAAGAGGATATCAGAACTAGGGGTTGTTGTGATCCACCTGACATGGATGTGGGAACCTAAATCAGGCACTCTGTAAGAACAGTACGTGCTCCTAACTCCTGACCCATTTCTCTAGCCCCTATTTTTATTTTTAAATATTTTTTTCCATGCTGGAACTTTATTGTAGGACCTTGTTCATGGTAGGCAAGTACTCCAATGCCCTATCAAGGACCTTACTCAGTGTGCAGTGAGCCATTCTAATGGGTGAAGCAAGTGGGGAAAAGGCACAGAAATCAGAAGAACAGAATGTTATATGCCTGGTCACATAAGATCAAAATTAGTGGAATCACAGAGTATTGCCAAAAGCACTTCCTAAATAGAGCCAAGTATTGCTTTAATAAGGGCACTCACGACATGTAGTAATACTTGTTAACAACTATTATTCTTTCCATAGCTTTTATGATTTTTCAAGCAAATTTACATACCCTTCATTTTTGTAGTCACAGGCTCTCTCACTTAAGGTGATTAATTCTCCAAGGTGTCACAGCTTGACATATAGGAAAGGCAATTAACCTAAGAATCATGTTTATGACCCAATTACTATGTTGCCTTCTTTACCTACTTCTTTGAGTATAGAAATAGCTATGCCTAAACTATATCTTAAACTAATATATATTCATGTATAAATATTCATGGGGAATTAGTCCTAGGAGTCCCCCTACCTTAAGGATACCAGAATCTGAGGAAGCTCAGAGCCCTAATGGAAAATGGCATTGTTTTGACAACTCACCAAGGCAGTGTTCTACATACTGTAAATTACTTATAACATCTAATACAGTGTGCTATGTGCATATTGTAGTATTTGTGTGTTTAGTATGTAGTTTAAGAAATAATGACAGAAAAATGGCTGTATATATTCAGTACAGGACACAATTTTGTTTTAGATTTTTCCATCCAAGTTTAGTTGAATCCATAAATGTGGAACCACAGGTATAGAGGTCCAACTGCAAGATAAGAGACTTTGAAATGCCTGCCCTGAGAAGTACGGGGAGAGCAGCTCTCTACATTGCTAGCTGATTTGAAAACTTGCAGCTCTTAGGTTTCCCAGCCCTTTCCTTCCTTTGCTTCCAAGTGGGTTTGAAGCAGTAAACAGGATAATAAGCTCATCTGATCTGACCTAGACCTTCGTGTGTAGCCACAGAGCTCAGAGCCAGAAAGCTCTGTGGGCAGCCAAAGTTCATGTTCCCTTTTAAGCTGAGAAATCACCCAGGAAATGCATGCCAACAGGCCAGTACTTTGCTGTAAATGCTTGGGAAACTCCAGGACAGCTGCCAAATTTCAAAGCTTCTTTCTCTTTTTAGCTACCAGGAAATCTGATGTCTGTAAAGTGATTGACTGAGTCACTGAAATCTATCATTTCTGCAGTTTTCTTGGTTAAACTAGCAAACAGATCTCAGGATGTTCTCTGAGTATCTACCAGTATGAAGGGAAAAGCAAAATTCAGCTCCCCTCCTTTTTCCTAGTCTACTCTTGCACTAAAATCAGAACTGATGCATGGGGTATCTTCCACTCTGCCACCAAGCAGATCTGCAGGAAACACCAACACGGTGGTCTAGATTCATTTCTGATGCGGTGTACCTGGAGATGGTATCTGATCCCACAGGCTGAGGACATTGTCCCAAGGCCCTTATATCAGACAACAGCAGTAGGCTGTCACCTGTACTTCTGATTGGCATTTTGACTGACCAGCCACACATAAAGGCTCCCCTGACCCTCTCTTTGGATTTTATTGATTGGATAAACTTGTTTACGGAATTCAGAAACATATTTACCAGCTTACTATAAAATATACTATAAAGAATACAAATGAACAAGCAAATAAAGTATTTATAGGGTGAGGTCTGGGGCAATGAGGGTACAGATCTTCCATGCCCTCTCTCCACATTACCCTCCCACCATCTCTACAAGTTCAACAAACTGTTATTCAAAACTTTTTCAGAGCCTGATTTCTAGCACCACCTTCAGAAGCTGCAAGCTGCAACTCAACTCTGGCCACTTGGTGTTTCTGTAACTGGCCCCATATCCTGAGTCTATCCCAGGCCTCAGGTGTGATTTTTCAAAAAACAGTGCTGATGCATGCCTTTAATTCCAGCACTCATAAGGCAGAGGCAGACTGATCTCTGTGAGATGGATGGTCTACATAGCAAGTTCTAGGCTAGCTGAGGCTACAAGGAGACCTTGTCTCAAAAAGACCAAGAAAGAAGACCATGTAATAAAAGATACTTCTAGTATTTGGTATACTTCAAGGGTTTTAAGCTTTGAACTAGGAACTGGTAACCAAAAATATATTTCTTATTATATAACAACTACAGTGTCCCCATATGTGCTGGATAGCTTTAGTGTCAACTTGACACACCTGGGTTGAGGGAGCCTCAACTGGGGAATTGCCTCCATTGGACTGGTCTGTGGCCATGTCTGTGGGGCATTTTCTTGATTGTTGAGTAATGTGGGAGGACCCAGCCCACTGTGGGTGGTGCCACCCTGGGCAGGTAGGCCTGTGTTGCATAAGAAAGCAGGCTGAGCAGGGGCCAGGGGAACAAGTCAGTAAGCAGCATTCCTCCATGGCCTGTGCTCCAGCTCCTGCTTCCAGGTTCCTGCCCTGAGTTCCTACCTTGGGCTCCCGGATGAACTGTGATGTGGGATATGTAAGCTATCCTTTCCTCCCCAAGTTGGTAGTGGTCAGAGTATTTTGTCACAGCAATGAAGAACAAACTAAGACACCATACAAACCCTCGGTTTAAATAAGATCCAAGCTGAGAATGGTGGGAGACTGAAAGGAACTTCTGAGCCCCAAAACAATTCCATGCCTTAGTCTAGCTAAAAGCAGATGCTGTGGAGGACAGAATGGAGGCATGTGCCACAAAATAAAGTAATTTTTACCCTTTTTGTTGTTCACAAAGAAACTGTCACCTCCTCAGTCTAGTGCTTTAACGTTCATACTGGACATCACTAAGATGACAGTCTCTGGGGGGGGCCACATCCCAGAGTGACTCCAGTCCAAAGAACACACATGCTGAGTTCCTGAAGAAACTTCCATCACTTGTCCATTCTCCTTTCAACACCATTTTCCAAAACCGTATTCACTAGTGATTCCAGAGTCTCTGAGGAAGAGGTAGGAGGAATGTCGAACTTGGCATCTAAGGGCTTGCTGTCCTGACTTCTAACCTCATGCCTTAATTGCTCTGGGCCCTGTGGTTCTTGTCTGTAGAGGAAGATGGGAACTGTTCATGAGATGATAAATGTGCTGTCCTTTGTAAACTGTAGAGGGTTGTACTTGTATCAGGGCTTATTAGCAGGCACAACCCCACCATGCCTGGTGAGATGTGATATTTATGGGAAAATGATTCCTCTCTCCCTGAGCCACAACACGAAGGACCTCTTTCCTAGATGATCTTTGCTGCAACAGGGACTCAGAGCAGGCACATACTTTATGAATGAGAGAAGAATTAAGTTGTTTAACTAACTCTCCTTACACTGTGGTTATGAATTGGCTGCAGTTGTCAAATCAGCCACAGGAACCACATGTATTGGACTACATTTTTATTTTAATTTTAACATTTTCCTCTGTCTGGTGCACTACTGTAAGTAATCTCTGGGCTGGTTGCCTCATCTAACGAATGACAAGGTTTATTTTTCATTTCATTCTTTTTTTTTTTTTTAGCGTGGTAAATTTCTGTACAAAATTCTACACATTTTATGGTAATTATCTTGGCTCATGAAAAGCTGATTTGCAATACTGATTCTTCCAACTCCTTAGGTTGTAGATATTTAAGACTCCATGGGAAAGCTTGCCTTTCCCTGATATTCGAACTTGACTTTAGCATGACTGGAGGTGCTGTCAGTATCGAGTAACCCTCTTCTAAGTCTCCTTTTTTAAACAAAGCTTATTAATAGCTCCATCAGATCTTAACACAGTATTCCAAGCACAACTAACTCAGTAGTAGTAATAATGGTAAGAAACTCATAGAGTTTGGGTGCTGGGTAATTTCCTAATTATTTTAGTCTAATAATGCCAAAGAAATCATATTTTAATAATAAACTAATTAAGTAAATTACTTCAGGTTAGAAAACAGTGAAAACTTGGCAAATTACAACTGGATTTAGTTCACTAAACTGCCTATCCATTTCTATTTGAATTTCAATTTAGCAAATGTTTTTTGGTGAATCTATACTTATTTTGTCTTTCTTGCTAAGGAGCATTTCTTTTCACATTTCTAAACTGGAATAAATATGCAGTTCACTTTTCCAACTGTTTGGGAGGGGATCTACCTCAATTTACTTGGATTGTTGTTGTTGTTGTTTTGGGTTTTTTTGTTTGTTTGTTTGTTTGTTTGTTTGTTTTTTTTTGTCTTTTTGAGACAGGGTCTCCCTGTAGTGCCAGCTGCCTGGAACTTACTGTATAGACCAGGCTGGTCTTGAACTCAGAGATCTGCCTGCCTCTGCCTCCGGAGTGCTGAAAGGTGTGTGCCACCACGCCCAGAAATTTACTTGGAATCTTAATCAGCTACAAAGACTGGAATGTCCTTTCCAAACTAAATTAAAGAGACTGTATGAGAGAGGCAGTTACTTTTTTCAGTTTTTATTGCTGAAAAAATTTAGCAAAGTTAGACAACTTATGACAACATGCATTTTTTATCTCTCAGTTTCTGTGGTTTGGAACAATGTGGCTAAGGTCATTTCTTCATGATCTTCCACAAGGCTTAGCCAACATCTCTGCTAAAGCTTGACTGGGAAATATCTTCTTTCAAGTCAGAAGAAAATTCAGTTCCTAAAGGATTAATGGAATACTTTTCTGCAGTTCTGGATGGTTCTCTGCCAGAGGATGCCCTTAGTTCCTTGCCACAAGAGTGCTAACAGGGCCAGTTGCCTAATCAAAGCATGCAGCTGAGAAGGCAGCCGGCTAAGTGGTGAGCCAGGGAGAAGTCAGAGTCTTGCATAATGTAACCACAAGTCTGCTCTCCTCCACCTTTGCTGTATTCTGTGTGTTAGAAACTGGCACCAAGACACACTCAAGTTGTGAGAGGCAGATTCCACAGAGTGCAGAATCTAGAAGGCAGTGATTATTGGGGAGCATTTTAGCATCTCTCTGCCATAGGAAGAAAGAGAAAGAGGAAAGGGAGAAGTGGTAGAGAGAGAGAGGCACAGTGTTCATCTAAGGCTGAGAAATGTTGTTTGTTTTAAACTGCTTAGGAAATTCTTAAGCCTAGTCATGTACTAGAACCTTTATGTAGAAGTTCCAACTGAACCTTAGGTTTTTCTCCAATTCATTGTTTTCCAAAAACTTTTCCAAAAACTTAGGAAACATCAAGTTATAGAAAAACATGTTTTTCTATTTATTCAAAAGAGGTAATAGAGAAAACCAGAGATTTATGAATTTATTCTTAGAATTCAAGAAATTCTAGATTAATAAATGTTTAGGATAGTTTTAAAATTTAAGAGAGTCAATGAGTGGGCTGTTTGAATAACTTATAGCTGAGATGTGCCATGAGATTTGAATCTTGATGGTATAAGGGCACTTCTGGTCAATTACTTCTGCTCACTTGTCATTAGTCCTTAATACACCAATGGTTGAAGATTAACAGAAGATGAAATTGACAAGTAGTTGTAAGTAATACATTAAGGTCATATTAAGACCAAAATTCATCACATATAATAATGTTTCACAGAAGTGTCAATATAAAGCAGTTGCAATAAGGTATATTACATAGCAAGGAACTTCAAGGAATTCTGGCCCCCAAAACCTGACCCAGATCATTTGGAAGAATAATCGTGTGGAAGCTGGTATTTGTTTCAAGTAAAATAATGTCAACTATTTTCATTAACATTGTTAATTTGAATGTAGTTGATTTTACAGTCTTACTTTATTTTAATCTTATAAATTTCTTTTGCTATTACAGTTATACTAAACAAAATTAGATAGTATATGCATAGGTTTCTGATTACACATATGGAAGAAAAATTGTATTAAAGATAATTTGCTAGCACTCCTGCTTCTTCAGGAACGCTTCCTTTAACAGCTAGCTGCACGTGGCTCAAGACGGATAAACACGCCCCCCACTTCAGTGCTCCACCAGCCATGACGAGTGAAGCTCGTATTCAGACTGAGCTAATAAACAGTGATGCGAGCAGTTCACCTAATCCGCTCACAGAGATAAAGTACACATCGGTCTCAATGTCTCTTCCATCAGTATATGTCCTTTCAGCCCCTCCATCAGTCTCTTTGTGTGAGGGAAGGACGGGAAGAGTTGTGCCCTTGCTGGCTTTCTTGGTGAGCTCTGGTGACCCGCAGGCATTCATCTAGTTCTTAAATTTAGGCGGAAGGAAGGTGTTGCTTTTCTTTTTGTTGTGCGGATTCTCCTTCAAGATGCTCTTACTCTGCTTCATCTGAAGATTTCCTCACCAACAGAGCCTTTGCTCCCCCATCCTCTCACCCTCAAAGGAGTCTATGTGGGGCTAATTTTTCTAAAGCTATACAGGAAACCCTCCTGTGCAGAAAAAAATAATTACCCTAAATGCAAGAGCACATTGTGAGCTAAGGGCAAGGAAGAAGCCTGGAGAGGAGCCTGGGGGAGCATCTCCTAGTGTCTGAGCCCCATAGCAGAGGCATCGCTCTGGACGCCAGACATGAGGCACACATGGCATACCTGGGGAGCAGGAACGTGCAGTCAAAGGGTGACTGTGATGCTCTAGCAGAGGTGCACCTGAGGGGCCCTGAAGAAGTGGGTCTCCTCAGGGGAGAGCCCTGAGGCACGCTGAGTCTGCTTTCTAGAATCAGCAGGAATCAAATGAAAAAAATATAGCTCATCCATCCCACATATAATTCATTAACCTAATACAGTGGGGAGACCTTATCCTTGGAATTCTGCCTTTTTCCTGAATCCATATCGTGTTTATCGAGACTCCTGTGATGTATTCTTGTGTTCATGTGTTCATCTCCCGTGCTACCTATTGAAAACTGGTGGGTTTTCTGTGCTCCCTCTGGGAGATGGCAGTATCAGGGAAGACAATGTGCTTTGTTCCCCTAGGTGGCCCTCTGCTCTATGATAACATCACCTTTGTATACAACTCAGAGCAGCTGAACGGGACTCAGCGGGTTCTCCTAGACAATGTCTTGTCGGAAGAGCAGTGCCGGGAACTTCACAGCGTGGCCAGCGTGAGAACTGGAAAGGGGGAACCCCTGTGCCAGCCTGTCCTGGGCCTGGGGGGAGCGGGGTCTTGGAAGAGAACGCCCCTGTGCTAGTCTATCCTGGGCCTGGGGGGAAGGGTCCCGGAGGAGAGGACTCCTGTGCCAGGCGGTCCTTAGCCTGGAGGGCAGCATTAGAGAATAAGTCTGGAATTTCCCTTACTTGGGAGAAAGAAAGTTACTGCACAGACACTTTCATAACTTTTGGGTTGGAATTATTTTACTTTTCCTAAGTGAGATCTGGAACATCTACTGGCTTAAGTCCTAGAATAATAGCCATCCAGCATGTGCCCTGCCTAGCTGTATAAAGTTGCTGAAGAAATCTCTTTATGTTAACCAATAATTAACCAAGATGTGAATCATTTATATTCTTTGTAATAAGAAATAGTGTTTTATAATGAAAATGGAATGGAGATCAAATAGAAAGCCTGTTCTGATTGGAACTGATTATACCCAGAATGCAATGGGAATGATGCTGAGTTTGTCTTTGGTTCTCAGCTTCTGGAAGCCAAAGCAGAAAGTTCCAGAAGAGTCTTCCTTGTCACTGATAAAGCGTCTTCCTACATTTTGTTACCAGGGAATCATGCTGGTTGGTGATGGATACCGAGGAAAAACTTCACCCCATACGCCCAATGAAAAATTTGAAGGAGCAACTGTCTTGAAAGCACTCAAGGTAAAGACTTCACATCCTTTTGGTTCTGTTTCTAAAGGGATGGCAGAGGCCTTTGTGAATGGCAGGAACAGGAAAGAGAAGCATTCAGAAGGGAGCAAGTATGAAATGCAAACCTGGAGGTTGTGCTTTGCCATTTGCTTTTGGTGCTGAGAGTTCATGCTAAGCACATGATATACCACTGAGACACATGCCCAGGAATGTTTATTATTTAAAGCCAACCCTTTATTCAGACATCCACAAATCAGACTTTACATTTCCTAAATTTGTATCTGACCAAAAATTATGCAAATGCTGTCCTCGAGGAGCTCATGAGCTGGTTATAAGAATATACCAAAATAAGTAATTCTTCTGTACAGAGTGTCATTAGGGGCGATTGAAGAATGTTATGTAGGAGAAGAGAGGAGGGCGCAGTTTGCTCCTAACTTTCCCTATGTGATTTGAACTGCCAGTTCATTGCCTCACTGTTCTTACCAAATCCACAAGTGTGTGGTATGATTCCTGGTAGTTGATGCAGAGATAGCAACAGTGTATTGCCTTCCTGAAACCTAGACTCTGTTTGTCTCAAGCCCCCTAATCAACCCCATGGTTTCTAATGCTCTTATTTTTTGTTTTTTGTTTTTTTTTTTTCAGTTTGGTTATGAAGGCCGAGTGCCACTGAAGAGTGCACGTCTGTTTTATGACATCAGTGAGAAGGCTCGAAAGATTGTAGAATCCTATTTCATGCTGAACTCAACCCTGTATTTTTCCTATACACATATGGTCTGCAGAACAGCCCTGTCTGGTAAGTTTCCAGAATGTGAACTTGTCTCCTTCTTCCCACAGGAAAGAAAACAATGCACAGCAAATGCCATTACATTTTAGACTAATAATTTATGAAAATTCTAGATTTCAGAAACAAGAAGTATGCAAACTCCTTCTGTTCCTTTTGGACCTTTAAAGTTCTGGAGGACCCGCCTTCTTATTTTCTGTCATCAAGTCCCTTTCTTACAATTGCCGAAGACACACAAAAAATGCTTTTCTGCTCCAGGCCTCAGCGATCCAGGAAGCTGGGAATTACGGTTGTTCTTATGTGTACAAGCTCTGAGCGCAAGCAGAGAAGGATGCTGAAGAGGGGCTCCTGAGTGCAGCATTCTCGCTTCTGTTGCATGCTGTCACCCTCCTTCCACTCACTCGAACGGGGGCAGAAAGAAAGATGCCTCAGGAGCACTTGACACTAGTGGAGACTAAGCCGAGTCAGAACCCTTGGCTCACATTTCCACTTTGTCCTTGAGCTTATGTTACCTCCAAATGAGTGGAAATCCAAAAAGTGCATGAAGTTTACACAGGTATATTTATATGAACTTTTATCATTGAAGACAGATATGATTTGGCCAAGGTTTCACATCAAGTTCCTGTATAAACAAATGGATCTCTTGACTACTTGCTCACTGTTCTTTAGTTTTAAATACTATTTTATTAATTCTTTGAGAATTGAAAATTTTCATACAGTGTATTTTCATTGCATTCACCCCCCACTTCCTCCCAGATACACAACAAGCTCCCTACAACTTCACGTTCTCTTTAAAAAAAAAAAAGAACGTATTGAGTCCAATTTGTGTTTTTCAAAGACTCTGGTGTGTGTCCATGCCTTTGAGCATGGTAGACCTATCAGTGGTCATACCCTTAAATAATACTGACTTTCTCTGTGCCAGCAGCTATAAATTATCAATACCTCAATACCTCCTCAGTTAAGGGAGGGACTTCACTCCCACATCCTCCCTCCATGCTGGGATTTTCTGTGACTTGAGCTTGTGCAGGTCTTGTGCATGCTGTCACAACTGTTCTGAGTTTGTATGTGCTACTGCCCTGTTGTGTCCAGAAAATACAGATTCGTTGCAAGCATTATCCACCTCTGGCTCTTACAATTTCTCTGCCCCCTCGGCCAAGATGATACCTGAGCCTTAGGAGGAGAGGGTGTGATATAGATGTCCCATTTAGGACTGAGTACTCCACAGCCTTATTCTTTACATGTTTACCAGTTGTGGGTCTCTGTGTTCATCTCCATATCTGCAAAAAGAAGCTTCTCTAATGAGAGTTGAGGAAAGCACTATGGGTATAACCATTAAGTCATTATGGGGTCGGTTTAATATTATGCCCATTCATCATAATAATAGTAGTGGGTTCTACCCTACAGCCTATGATCTAGCCAGTCATGGGCTTTTGGCTCAGTCAGTGGTGTGAGGTATGACTTCCATCTTGTAGCATGGGCTTTAAATCCAATCAGAAAGTAGTTGGTTACTCCAGTAACATCTGTGCAACTACTGCACCACTGGACATATCTTGCCAGACTAGTTGTTATTGTATCTCTCAGGGTTCACAGCTGGTTAAGATTGATGGCTACTTTCTCTTCTGGAGCCTAGCATAATTTACCCTTCCAGCACTATGAAATCTAGCCAGTAGGGTTGAAGCTTCTAGGTCCATCTGCACTTCTCCATTTTCTATGACTCAAGTATTTAGTGTCTTCAGAAATAGGTTCTTATCATCAGGTTCTGAAGGGAAACTAAGAAGAACGGTGATAGCCAGTCACGTTTGAGGGTCTATGTGATCCCACTGGCCAATAACTCCTAAAGAGGTAGCTCATTCCTAGCACTGGGCTTTTCATTTGCTAGCCTACAGTGTCTAATAGGGTAACTCCATTAAACCATTTAATACATGTATATGTACATGTTTTAGGAAACTTTTGTGTCAGTTATCTCGTCCCATACCCCTTCCACTACCCTGCCCTCTCATTCCTGACCTCGTGTTTCCCATTGCATCACTGCATTCTATCTCCCTTCCCTTGAAAGCCCCCCATGACCCTATCAGTTCCTGATCTCTATGTTTTTAGCAAATGAAGCACATATCTAAAGAGTCAAAGCAAGCATCCACATATAAGAGAAAACATCTGATGTTTGCCTTTCTGAGTCTGGGTTGCCTCACTAGGATGATTGCTTCCTGCTCCTTCCATCTAACTGGAAATTACATAATTTTATTTTTCTTAACACCTGAATAATATGCTATTGTGTAAATGTATCATATTTTCTATTTCCTAGCTATTGTAAATAGAGCAGCAATGAACATGGATGAGCAGGTACCCCTGCAGTAGGATAGGGTCCTTTGGGTACATGCCCAAGAAAATTATAGCTGGATCATGTGGTAGCTCTATTTTTAGCTTTCTGGGGAACTTCCACACTGATTTCCATAGTGGTTGCACAATTTTGCACTCCCCTCAACAGTGAATAAACATTCTCCTTTTCCCACATATTCATGCCACTATTGTGTTGATGGGCATACCTTGGCAGGTCAGTTGTAGCTCACAGAATTCACAACTGGGCTAGGTTGATGATTTTCTCTTATATAAGAGCTACTCAGTAGAGATGAAGGTTTGAATTCAGTACCAGCTTGATTTCTCCTTGTTTGTTCTGCAGCTCATGTGCAGTTTCATCAGCAATAGGATCTTACTGTCAAGTTCTGGTGGGTAACCAAGAGCAGGGGAATGGCCAGTATTGTTTGAGAGATGGCTTAGTGGTTAATACCACTTGCCGTTCTCCCAGAGGGCCTGGTTTAAGCTCCCAGCACCCTCGTGGCAGCTAACAATTGGCCGTTACTCCAGTTCCAGGGGATTTAATATCATTTTCTGGTCTCTGTGGGCCCTACATGTACATGGGGCACTTACATGCAGGTAAAACACACATACACATAAAGTAAACCCTCTCAAATTTTTTGATGCAGGCACTTGATGCTACAAACTTAACAGCTGCTTCATTGTGTCCCATAGATTTGGTGTGTTGTTTTTATTTTCATTCAGTTCTAGGAATTTTTAAATTTTCTTCTTGCTTTCTCCCTTGACCCAATTTTCATTCGGTGGTGTAATGCTTAGTTTCCATGAGATTTGTAATTTTTTGTAGTTTCTGTTGCTGTGATCTCTAACTTCATTCTTTGTGGTCAGATGGAATGTAGGACTCTATTTTAATTTTCTTATATTTGTTGAGACTTGCTTTGTGTTTTAATATGTGGCCAATTTTGGAGAAAGTTACAGGGAATGCTGACAAGAAAGTATATTCTTTAGTGTTGGGTCAAATGTTTTGTGAATCTCTGTTAGAATCATCTGATTTATAGTGTCATTTAACTCCAGAGTTTCTCTCTTTAGATTTTTTTTTTTTTGTCTAGATGATCTATCTGTTGGTGAAAGTGAGGTATTGAAGCCACACCACCCAGTGTGGTGGAGTCTATCTTTGATTTTTTTTGTGAATCTCTGTTAGAATCATCTGATTTATAGTGTCATTTAACTCCAGAGTTTCTCTCTTTAGATTTTTTTTTTTTGTCTAGATGATCTATCTGTTGGTGAAAGTGAGGTATTGAAGCCACACCACCCAGTGTGGTGGAGTCTATCTTTGATTTTAGGTCTAGTAATACTTCTTTTGTGAAACTGAGTACCTTGTGTTTGGTACATAAATATTTAGAATTGTAATATCTTCAGGGAGGACTTTTTCTTTAGTGAGTATGAAGTGTCCTTCCTTATCTCTTCTGACTTATTTTAGTTTGAAATCTATATTATATGATATTAGCATAGTTACAACTACATGTTTCTTGGTTCTATTTTCTTGGAGCACCTTTTTCTGTCCTTTTACTCTAAGATGATGTTTATCTTGATAATGAGCTGTATTTCTTGGAGGCAGCAAAAAAATGAATTCTATTTTGTAATCCAGTCTATTAGTCTGTATCTCTTTATTGGAGAATTGAGGTCATTAATACTGAGAGTTTGTTGTTGTTATTAAATATTTATTTTTATTTATGTGTGTGTGTGCATGTGTGTGTGTATCTGTCTGTATTTGCAGGTACTTATAGAAATCAGAAGAGGGTGTTGGATCCTCTGGACTTAGAGTTACAGGCCCTTACGAGCTGGTTATCATGGGTACTATGATATGAACTCAGGTCCTCTGGAATAACATCAAGCACTCTTAGCAGCTGAGCCATCTCTGCAGCTCCAAGAGATATTATCGAACCATCTGTACGATTCCTTTTATTTTTTGTGATGGTGATGAACTGTTATGGAATTGCTTATTTAGTCTCTATGCTCTCTTGGGTGTGTTTAAACTTCTCATCAGAAAGAACTGTTCCTCTAGTATCTTCCATAGAGCTGGCTTAGTAGTCATAAATCCCTTAAATCTGTTTTATTCCAGAAAGTTTTTCTTTCTCTTTTGATTATGACTAATAACTTCGCTGAGTATAGTAGTTTGTGTTGACATCTGTGGTCTTTAAGAACTTATAGACTATCAATCCAGGCCGTCCTAATGTTCAAAGTCTCCATTAAAAAGTCCGGTGTTATTCTGGTGGGCCTGGCTTTATATGTGATTTAGTCTTTCTTCCTTGCAGCTTTCAATATCCTTTCTTTGTTCTGTACATTTAGCATTTTGATTATGGGGAGTTTGATTATATTTGATTATTATATTTGAAGTAGGGAGTTTTTTCTGGTCCTGTCGATTTGGTGTTCCCTGTGCCCCTTTCACCTTGATAAGCATCTCCTTCCTTATTTTCTTCTATGACTTTGTTGAAAATATTTTTCTGTACCTTTGACCTGGGTTTCTTCTCTTTTCTTTATATTTGCGATATGGGTTTGTAGGTTTGGTCTTTTCATAGTGTCACAGAGTTCCTGCACATTTTGTTCCTGGTATTTTTTTTGGTTTAACATTCTCTTTGACTGAGTTATCCAATCCTCTATCTTGTCTTCAGGACTTGATAGTCTTTCTTCTACCTGATCCTTTCTATTGTTGAGGATTTCTGCTGAGTGTTTAGTTCACTGACTTTATCAAGTTCTGTTTCAATAGCCTTTTTCTTCAGAAACTTTTTCTCTTTATTAAATTCTATTTCCTTATCTTTTTGTTTTATTTAAGTGCTTGCTTTCTCAGTTTTCATTCTTGGTTTTTCAAGTTGTTTATGTTTTTGTGATGAGACCTGGGCATCTGGAATTAGGTCAGTGGTGGTGTTTCTTGGTAGGAATATCTGGTCTCACCTTGTTGATTGGCTATTTGGATCTTTGTTTCCTGTTACCCCATCTTGTCAGGTTGCCACCCAGCTGAATGGAGCTTGTGGTTCAGTCTTGCTTCCACTCTATGTTATTGTGTGAATGAGGTGTCAGAAGTGGTTCCAGCACAACTAGGGACAGGTGCAACTTCCCGGGCCCAAGGGCAAACCTTCTGTAGGGTTAGAAGAGTCTCCCTGCTGATCTTTAGAAGTCTTTGAGGGCTCAGCAGATTCTACTGGTGGTCCTGGTGGGAGGTGCTGGGCTCACAGCAGACATGAGTGGTGCTCCCTGGAAGCTAAGTTCAGGATGTGCACTGTTCTCAGGTGGAGGTAAGTGTGGTGGAGGCTGGGCTAGGGATCCCTACCTGAAACCAGGATCCCATTGCAGGATGCCCTGTGCCCCCATCCCCCACAAGGCACAGTGGGTGGGCTGGTTGGCATTGCCCACTGTTCTTTTATCTAGTCTGTTGCCTTCTGTCTCTCCGCATCTGCAAGGGACACCAGGAACTAAAGAAGACTGTTGAATTTGCTTTTAACTGTTGCAAGTTGCGATAGTTTGGCTCTTATTCTTCATTCATTGTCCATTCTTCTGTCAGGTCAACAAGATAGAAGAAATGACCTCAGCCATCCCATTCATGCTGACAACTGCCTGTTGGATCCAGAAGCTAATGAATGCTGGAAGGAGCCGCCTGCCTACACCTTCAGGGACTACAGGTAGCACCTGCTTCTAAACTAAACCCAGCCTTTGCCCAACAGTGACCAAAACCTCACAGAAACCGAGAAGCTGCTTTGTTTTGTTTGTCATCTTGTTCATCTCTATGGAGCAGAGATGCACAGACTCTGCTGAAGCAGCTGCTATAACTGAGAAGTGACCATTTCGTTTTAATCTTAGTCACCATGCACATTTGACATCCTATTAAGCAAGACTACTTGCTTTAAAAATCGGTTTTTTTTTTACTAAGGCATATTATTTTCCTTGTGTTTTCTACTCTGAGAGACAAAGCACATGGTCTCACAAGACACAGCATGTTACCACAATACATGTCTATTACTCACATCCATGTAGGAACCATATCTATTTTCTCATTCAGAAATAAAAACTCAGGAGGCTGGAGAGATGGCTCAGCGGTTAAGAGCATTGACTGCTCTTACAGAGGACTGGGGTTCGATTCCCAGCACCCACATGGCGGCTAACCCCTGGAACCTGACCCAGGCTTTCTTCTGACCCCTGCTGGCATTGCATGACATGGGTGTACTTATACACATGCAGGCATAACACTCATACACACAAAATAAAAATAAATAAAATATTAAAAGAAAATAGAAACTCAAAAGAAAGTACTGTTTCAGATTATGGGAAGATATCTTGTTATGTAAAGACAAGAGGATGTATGTAAAGAGATATATTAGTACATAGTCAATGGGTATATATAGTAACATCTTTGTTATTACTCTACCATGTTCTATTAAAAATCCATTTATTGAGCAATCCGTGTCTTCATGGACAGGATAAATCACAAGGAATTCATTAGCTAATTAAGGAAACTACATCCTCTGGAGTTACTTTTTAAAAAATATTTTATTTTTTTATTTCATGCATATGGATGTATTGCCTGCATGTACGTGAGTGCACCCATGTCATGCAATGCTGCGGAGGTCAGAAGAGGGCTTCGGATTCCCCTGGGAGTTAAGGATGGTTCATAGCCTCCATGTGGGTGCTGGGAATCAAACACAGGTCCTCTGCAAGAGCAGTGCTCTTAACCGCTGAGGCTCCTGGAGTTACTCCAGCCCCCTGGAGTTACTTTTATATAAGGGAAAAAAAGAGTGATAATGTGAGTAGGTTTAGAGGATTATATGAAATTAAGTCTGGTTTGGTGTTTGAAATGAGCTTTGACGTGTGATTAAAACACTAGTGGAAGTGGAAGCAATAAATGTTTCAGGAGAAACACCCAGAGCTTTATCTGAGCTTACTTTCAAGGGTTTGAAGGGCTAGTGTCAAAGGCAACTGACTATTCAGGCTGGCCCTTCCTCCCCAGTCTTCAGTGTTCTACAGTTGACATTTTTCTGAGTACATGCTATTGTGTGAATGGGCCTCTCTTTTCCCTTACAGTGCTCTCCTATACATGAATGATGACTTTGAAGGAGGAGAATTCATTTTCACTGAAATGGATGCTAAAACTGTGACTGTAAGTAAACTTTCTCCTAAAAACGTATTTAATTTTTTTGTCAATCTCACTTACCATTTTCCCTAGAATTCAAACTGTTAGATTTCAGATACTTTTAAGCCAAAAATTCAAGAGGCACAGAGAATCCCAGTGAATTTATAGACAATAAAATATATGAAGTATAAATGACTATTTTAAAGACAGACAAATTAAGAGATACAGATGTTAAAGATTGGATTGTGATAACATAAATTGCAGCGTTATACTTGGACTCAAAACATAGATAGTCTTGTTTCTGTCAGATAATCTGATGTAAACATAAAAGCATTAATCCATAACTCACCCGAATGTAAGACAAATAATCAAATTATTAAACAAAATGGCTTAAAGTAGCCGACATGCTTAAAGTGAGCATCATCCTCTAATTCATGTAGATAGATGATAGATAAATGTGTATGTGTGTGAATATGAATTAATACACACAACTAAGTATGTTATGAATTTTTACCTCTGAATTGGTCTGCATACTCACAAATATTTACATCATAATTGAAATTCAACTATTTTATTCATAACCAACCAATGCCTTTGGAAAAACAGACTCCTCAGCACTTACAGACCATATAGCTAATATTTTTTTTACCTTTAAGCCAAAGATCTTATACACTGTTAGAGCAAGTCTTCAAAGTGAATAACAATATGAATTATAAATTGACTATGGGGTTGCTTTCCTCCACGTAAAATCTAAGTAGCTGGGAAACATGTCTGATAAATGTCAAAGTTTGAATATTATATATTTCCAAAACTTTTTCCATCTTTTGTGCTTCTAATGTCATAGCTTGCACAGTTTTCTCAGACCTGTGTACTGTTCATGGGGCAATGCTGCGGCATGAGTAGGTGACATTCCAAGCTATGTAGTACTGGGTTTACAAGATATTTCTATGAGGATTGTCTTAAAATTCCCCAGAAACATGGTTATAGTCTCATATACTATGTAAAATTTAATCTATATTTAAACAGACATGCTGCCTCACTTTTTTTTTTTTAAGGCTTTTTTTTTTTAATCTTTGAAATTAAACCGAGACTGATGATTTAGGCTGGAGCTTAAACCCCTGTACAGAATTCTTGCTTTTGGAAGAGCTGTGCACAGAAGGAATTTTATTTCTAAGCTCTGCTAACAGAAACTGAAGTAGAAAAATGCTCACATCTCAGTTTGAGAGAGCATCAGTTAGAGGGTTGAAAAGATTTCTTTGCTTCTACTCCATCTAGTGGCTCTATTTGGAAGTGCCCAATGTTCAGAAGGCAAATTGGTAGGAACACTATGCATAGATCCTTACACGTGTAAGCAAAGAAATTCTCTCAAACATTTACAGTGTTAACAACTGACGAATGTTTAAAAATAACAAATCTAACTTCCCTTCAAAAAAGTAAACAAGGGACTTGAGAGATTTTCAGCAGTTAAGAGCAATGACTGCTCTTATAGAGGACCTGGGTTCTGTTCCCAGCAGCCACATGGCAGCTAACAACAGTTTATAACTTCAGTTCAAGAAGATCCAATGCTCCCTTCCGGCCTCTGGAGGCACTGCTCACACAGGTACACCTTACATAAATGCAGGCAAATCACAGATACACATAAAAAATTAATTTTTAAAAATTAAATGAAAAAATGTTGAACTTTTTTTTTGCTTTTTTTTATTTTAAATTTTTTTTTTACAATTAAAGTTAAAGTTTTAACAATATGCAAAATACTACAGTAATTCAGATTTTTTGGCATAATGATTACAGATTTGATAAATACATTTCATATCTCATAATAGTGATGAAGATTATACAAAAGCTATTAAAACAATTATAAGAATAAATTCAATTGTCACTTAAGTATCTAAAGCTATTTTCCTTTGCGTTCTTCCAGAATGATTTGTTCTTATTCTTTACCTTAATTTGAGGGA